TTTCACACAGTGTTACCAGAAAAAGCTTTTTAAAGGCAAATTACTAAGCACAAGTTAACTGAGTTATAGTGACTACACTAGAACAGCCCTAAAAAATGGGCTGGCCAAGGGCAAAGTATAAAGCTGGTATTCTCTACTATAAACTTCATTTCATTCTATGGTCTCCTGAAAGCCTCCGAGTCCCTGTACAGAATATTTCTAGCAGGTTTTATACAGGAAAAAAAACAAGGAGAAAATTTCCCTGGCACAGTAGCAGTTTATACTCACCATCATAAACACAAAATAGAGGTTCATGAGAAATGTTGTCATATAGTCCATACTTGGACCTATTGCTATGGCCAGTGCCATGGAACTGGCTGTGTAAGTCACCAGCATAACAGTAAAAAACATGATGAAGAAGGCCTCTAGCTATGTTTCAATCCTTATAAAAAAGGGGGGGGGGGTCAATCCAGCCGCCTACATCAGCAAGTTCTGGGAACAATTTATTGCACAAATAATACCATAATATAAGAAACAAATATCAGAATGAAGAGTCATTCACCATCAAACTACATAGGTCATTGATTTCATTGTCCCTCCATGTACCTGCATAAAGTTATCATACAGTTTTTCTTTTCACACTTACTGCAAAAACACTTCTCCTTGCAGCATCTGTGCTCTCTTGTGTGGGCTTAAGAACCACTTCTGAGTTCCTGAGATGAAGCACTCAAGACAACACAGGGGACAAGAGTCTCTTGTCTTGGCCTCTCACAGAAAACTCAGCAACAGCCATTCACTTCCCCAGACATCTGCACAGCACTCAGGGGTGGCTGTGACTGCACTAGGGGGATCCTGGGGTCAGGACTCCATGACTTCACAGTGGTTTCCATTTCTGAGACCAAGAAGGGGCCTTCATAAAGTATATCTAAAGGGGCCTTGGACCTAGCACCACATGACTTGGATGGAGAATGGGGATAAGCTGAGTTCCACAAACTATTTCATAAAGTACAATGAGTTAATATTATGCATCACACAAGCTGAAGATTTAGAAACAGCTGCAAGAACACAAAGAGTCTGAGACCTTGATTCTGATACACATCTTCCTTATAAAATGGAATATCTAACCTCTGTAAGTGGTTCTTATCCTGTAGTGCACTATCAAAAAGAGAGTTTTTGACAGTGTGTGTGTGTGTGTCTGTGTGTGTACACACCTATGTTTTGTGCACATATGCATGTGATGGTGTGCACACATGTATAGGTATATCACTGAAATACAGTATAAAGATACTTTGATGAGTATGGGATGAAGGCTGAACATAATGCAAAAATGAAACTGTCTACAACCATCAAACAAGTATCTTTATTGAATTACTATAAAATAGTAGGCAGAAGGAATAATACACATTTTGCTTTTTGACTTTCTATGTTATTCTCCATAGATATTAAGGATATCACTTGTCTATATTGATATCTATAAGAAAACACAGGGATACAAAAATATAGATATATAGGCAATAAATATCCCAGAATAGTGTTGAATTGTTTTATAAATTATTTCTACTTTTGTGTATGATACACAGTAAACATGTCTTACTAAAATATAGGTTTACAGTTTTAAAAGTTCAGGCTGGGAAATTTCTTGAGGGGAATACCCACACAACATGGTTATTTTAGAGAACACACAGTGGTTGCACATTCATTCTCTAGCACTTGGCTTTGCATTTAATGAAATATAAAGCATTCTTATAAGGGAAAATTAGTTTCATCTAATATCCAACTCTAGAGACAAGCTTTTTGTCTTATTACTTACCAAATCTAAAATATAGAGTAAGGGTAAATATAATGCTTGGCAGAAACCTCCTAGGGATTAAGTCAGATAATAGTTTTCCAAAGAAATAAGATGACAATCCATAGTATCCACTAATGTACTCATGTGTATAGAAGGAAAATGTACATTAGGCATCCAAGATTCATTTCAGAAGCTACAAAGCATAAAAAAACTCCTCGCTGTCAGAATCTTGCTGCCACTGGAAGACCACTGCTCATTTCCTTCAGGCTAGCTACTCCCACATCCCTCGCAACCTCCCCCACACTAGCTGCAGGAGCTGTGGTCCTCTCTCATTGTAGAAATCCCTTGTGCAGCTGTCCACACTAGCCCCAAAATCCTGCTTCGGGTGCACAGGATGTTCATCTCCTCATTCTTCCCAGAGATTCTTCTTCTTCGCTGATGCCAGTTCACTCTGAAGAACTGCATCACTTCTTTTCCTCACTTCTTGTTATTAGGATTTTTATTATTACTATTACTATCTGTGTTGGTACCTTTTAGTCATGCACAATGATCACATTCACCACAGGCAATTTGTATCTGTACATAATATAAAGTTGTTTACCGAGACCTACAATGCAGCTTCAGATCACAGATCTCTCTTTCTTCTATTCATATGCAAAAAGACTTCATCCTCTGATGATGGTGTCTACAATGAAGTAGCCATGTCAGCCACCAAATCCTAACCTTCTGCTTTCTGACTCTGTTCTCTCATAATTCTAAACCATTTCATCAGTATCCTGTTCCTTTTCCTCTCTGATGATTCCTTTCCTTGGCATGTAAATATGAGCAAATTATCTCACATCTTTGAAAGACACAAAAGACAAAACCAGCTTTTTTTTTCCTATAAAGCTGCCCTCTCTGCCTTTCCTCTCCTCCATCCAATGATGGCTAGACTTGGTCATAGTCTTTGTCAAATTTACTCCCCTTCCTCCATTTTACTGCTGAACCCACCATGTAATCACTACCAGGTCCCCAAAACTTTCCATGCCAGTGTTTCTATGACCAGTTATTTGCTAAAAACAAAAGCTTCTCTTCAGTCCCTTTACTGGTGATACCTCACAATGGGATTTGCTGACCATACCCTGATCTTGAAACTCTTTCCCTCAGTAGCAACTCCACCCACTGTTGGTGCTCCACCTGACTCATGACTGGTTTTTTTTCTATTCATATACTTTTTTTTAATTTTAGGGAAGGGTGTTCAAGGTCTCACTACTAGATTGGACTCATAGCGATCCACCTGTTTACAGCCTTCCAAGAGCTGGGCTTACAGGTGCATGCCACCATGCCCAGTCTCAATTGCTGTCTCAGCATGCCCCCGGGGCAGGGATGGCATAGCAGGCCCAGGGATTCAACCCTCAACTCCTGCACCTGCTTGCAGGCACTTTAATCTGCTGAGCTATTCAGCTGGCCCACTCCATTAGTATTAGTACATACATATTTCAAAACCTTGTGTATATAATGAACATATGTATACTTTATATTTGTCAAGTGAACAAAAAAATAAATAACACTACTGGTAATCTCTAGGATGGCATCCTTGACCCAATTCTCAATGTGACCAGGTTGCCCAACAGTCACCACATTGGTTGGAAGAGGAATCTACTTACATAAACAGCTTCTCCTCAAGCACAAAGATCTCCCCAGCTCACACACTGCTGAAACACTGAAAGACTGTCAATGTGAAGAGTACTGAGGCCCTGCCAGGTGAAAAGAGGAACAAAAACACCACAGCAATTCAACACATTAGGTTGATTTCCTACCTGCAGAACTCTTTTCTTGAATAATATCACACTAAAAAGTTGTTTAAATTTTTCTTCAAAAAAACTAAAATTACTCTGGTGAAAAATGATAGAAGGGCAGGACCCCATATGGTCTCTTCTCTATCTCTGCCTCTACTCAGCTAGACTCCTGTGAGTCCATATTATAGCACATTTTGACACACACAGTTTTAGGTTGCTATGATATAAAATTTGTGTTCCCCTAAAATTATATACAACAACCAAGAGGAAGTCTTTGGGAGATAATTAGATTTAGATTGGTCTTTAGAAAGTAAAGACCCAAGATGAGATTATGTCCTTATGAGAGGAAGAGACTCCAGGACCTGTGTAATGAGAGAGCAAGAATTTAAGTAGAGGCCACCATCTGCAGCCAGATTAGGGCCTCCACTTAAATCATAGCTTTCTTTGCTTAACAGGGGGGTTGACCAGTGGTTCTGTAGGGTTTGTGTCTAGATATCCCCCCAAAGCCTCAGGCAGTCATGAAGCAGGCTTCTAGAGATTTTTGTTGATTGATGGTCCAACACTGGGATTATGATCTGAGTGCTACCCCTGCCCTGGTGGGAGGTACTCTGTATACAATATAAGGGAGGGAAAGAGGCTTATTCCCCGATGCTGCTACTCCCTTTCCCTTTGTGCTCTTGTTACTTTTGCTGTTTTCTACTTTTGCTGTTCTCTACCACGAACTGTTGCCTTCTGCCATGTGCTACTCTGCCTTGGAGACAGCCGAGTATGAACTGAAATCTCCACAAACATAAACAAATAAACCTTTTCTTCTTTAATTTTCATGTTGGGTATTTTTTCTTAGCAACAAGAGAAAAGTAACCAAGACAGGTTAGCACAGTTTGTCAAAATATAGTTGAAATTTGATGCCATTGTTGCCACTGAATTTATTACCTATAGCCAAGGAAACAGTACGACTGGCAATTAGTTTTCTCTCTGTGCTGATATATAGATGCCTGAGGTCATAATATCATGACCTGCTCCTGAAAACAGAGGGCACTGGGCCAATGAGCTTGCAAACCCTATTACAAAAACAAAACAAAACAAAACAGAACCACTAAATAAGAAAAGACGAGGCCACAAGATGCCCCCAAAATCGCAAACTTTTCTCAAAACCAGCTCAAGAGGCAATGAGAGGGGGAAAATTCATAAATTACAAAGCAGATAGCTTTGAAAAGCTACCAGTGGAGATAAAACAGGTCATTAAGATACTTGGTGAATTTAAAGAAGGTATAACTAATAAGATGGCAACTGTAATAAAAAAATTATCAGTGAATCTAGAAAAGACACTAACAGTTAGGGTAACTAAAGAAAAAGATACAAAATAGGAATGCCCATCACAGAAAAGAATGGGAGTCATTAAAGGTACAAAAGAGCAATCCAGATTAAAAACATGATTGAAAATATGGAAAGCAGAAGTGACTAATGTGAAGGCAGAGTGAAGGAAGGAAATTATAAAGATTAGAGTAAAAATTAAAGAAACAAAGGCCAAGAAAAAATATTACAAAGAAACAAAGAGTGAGTTCTTTGAAAGAATAAGCAAAATTGACACACACTTAAGCAATGTTACTCAAGCCCAAAAAAGAGAAAGACAAACTACTGCAATTTGAAATGAAAAGGGTGAAATCACAACAGACACTGCCAAATTAAAAAAAAAAAAATTATTAGCAACTGCTTCACAAACTTACATGCCATACAATTGGAGTACTCAGAAGAAATGGAGTGATTCCTAGATACATATGAACTGCCACAATTAAACTAAGAAGACTCAGAAATCCTGAAGAGTCCAATAACAGGCAATAAAATTGAAGCAATAATAAGAAAAACTACCAACTAAAAAGAGTCTAGGACTTTATAAATTGATAGACGAAGTTTACAAAATGCCCAGGAAAGAACTAACACCAATACTCCTGAAACATTTTGATGAAATCCAGAGATTACGAGTACTTATAAAATCACATGTGGATGCTAATATTATCCTGTTCCCCAAACCAGACAATGGTCCAACCAAAAGAGAGAACTATAAGCCAATTTCTCTAATGAACATAGAAGCAAAAATCTTTAACAAGATACTGGCAAACAGATTACAACACATCATCAAAAAGTTCATACATAACAAAGTAGGCTCCATCCCAGGTTTGCAGACATGGTTTGATTCAAGCATATCAATAAATGGAATTGACCACATAAACAGGAACAAAGACAAAAAAGTCTCATGATCATCCCAATAGATGCAGAAAAGACCTTTGCCAAGATCTAATATTCATTCATGATAAAAACCTAAAGAAAATAGTTATCTCAACATGACAAATCCACTTATGACCAACCTATTGCTATCATCATATTAAATGGGAAAAACAGTAAAAGCATTTCCTCTAAAATCAGCAGCAAGACAAAGATGTCCAATATCACCACTCTTGCTCAACATATTTCTCAAAACATCAGCCACAGCAATCAAGCAAAAGAAAGAAATAAAAAGGATACACGCAGAAAAGAACAAAGCCAATATATTATTATTTGCAAATGACATGATCCTTACTTACAAGTCCCAAAAGAATCCTACAATTGATAAATAAAGCAGTGTAGCAAGATATGAAATAAGCACACAAAAATTAATAGAATTCCTATACAGTAATAATGAACATATTGAAAAAACAATTAGGAAAACAATGTCATTCACAATGGAATCAACAAATTACATATTTAGATATTAACTAAGACAATGAAAGACCTCCACAATGAAAATTACATTACTCTGAAAAAGAAAATCAAGGAGGATACCAGAAAATGGAAAGCTCTGCCCTGTTCCTCAATAGGCAGAACCAAAACTGGTATACAGATTTAATGCAATTCCAGTCAAAAAACCAATGTCCTTTCTCACAGATCAAGAGAAAGTAATCCTAAAATTCATATGCAATCAGAAGGGACCCAAAATAACAAAAGCAGTCCTAGGTAACAAAAGTCAGGAATCACAATCCCACACTTGGAGTTATACTGTAAAACTACAGTGATTCAAACAGCATGGTACTGGCACAGAAACAGGTCTGTTGATTCATGAAAGAGAAGAGTAGAAGCAGAATCTACCCCAAGCACACATAGCTATTTGAGTTTTGACAAAGGAGCCTGAAACACACACTGAAATAAGAGAAACTATGCAAGGGCTGGGGAGACAGCTCAGTAGAATAAGTGCTTGCCTGGCAAGCACAGAGGCCTGAGTTTAATCCCCAGTTCCACAAAAAAAAAAAAAAAAAAAAGAAAAGAAACTATGCAAAATTGGAAAATGGAAACTTATTTAAATATGAAGGGGAACAAGAGATGAGGGAGGG